AATAAGGGTATAGTCACCGTGTAAGTAAGAAATTTAATAATCTTTAATACCAAATAAGAAATAATTTAGCTCTACGATCACATATAATGTGAAGTTGTCTGAAAATGTAGTTTGAAACGTAATTGTGAAAGTGCGTTGTTAGTTGTTGCGCACGACTTGCCGTGAGTCTGACCAATCAGCGCTGGAACCACTGTAGTTTCAACTACATAAGTCCTAACTAACTAACGTGGTTCGAACAACTGTGGTACGACGGTTTCAAGAAACAGTCGTTGATCGGATGTTGGTTAGTTTGAACTACCATAGTACGATGCATCGTTAATGCTAACTTCCATCGTTGTTCGAGAATTGCACCCCAGTAGGTTTTCTATCCTACCCGGCTTCTGATGAGCCACACCTGTTCTCAGGTAAATACCAGGAACAGGTGTGGCTCATCAGAAGTGAAGTAGGACAGAAAACCTACTGGATAGTAGCTCTCCAGGACCAGAGTTGGAGACCCCTGGCCTACAGGAATGCTATGAAGCAATGGACTGGGAAATGTTTAAACAGTCCTGTGGTAATGATTTGGATGAGTTTGTGAATGTGACAATGCTCATATGTGGCCTTTTGTAGAGACATGATCATTCCAAGCAAATGATTAAAAAATTGTCCTAATAACAAACTGTGGATGACAAAAACTAGCTGTTAAGTTTAGCATACAGGAAAATAAATTATTGTTTAAACTGGGGACCATTACTGATCTGCAAACAGCTAATAAGGTGCTAAAAATGCAAATCCTTAAGGAAAAACAAGATTATCAAACTAAACTGGAGAGCGAAATGGCTACCAATGACTTTGGTTCAGCCTGGGCTAGCACGAAAACTATAGCAGGCCCCAGCATCTAAAGAGTAGTAGTATGGCTGCCCTGACATTCAGCTGGCTAATCCTCTAAACCAGTGTTTCTCAACCAAGTCCTCAGCGAACCCCAGCCAGTCCACGTTTTTGCTTCCTCTCAGCTCCCAGCGCACCTGTACCAGCTATTCGGTGTTCCTGATTGGCTGGGAGCTGGGAGGGAGCAAAAACGTGAACTGGCTGGGGTTCGCTGAGGACTGGGTTGAGAAACACTGCTCTAAACCATTTTTACAACTGCTTTGATACTTCTAATTTTAGCAATGAAATCTAGGAATTCAGTAATAAGCTCACAGATAATCTGCATTTTAACTTAAAATAATAGGATGTGCAAAAGAGCTTCCTCACAATAAAAGTGAAAGTGAAAAGTGAAGAGTTGTGGACCAGATAACATCGGTGGGTGTATACTTAAAACCTGGGCAAGAGAACTGAGCCCTCTGTTTTACTATATTTTTCTCTACAGGAGCAACACTTAATCGAGGTCTGGAAGGATGCTGTGGTCGTCCCTGTTCCCAAATCCTGCTTCCCCAAAACCCTCATCAATTGTAATGAAACATCTGAAAGATTAGTAAGGTCAGAACTCCTAAGGAAAGCTGAGCATGTGCTTGACCCCAAGCAGTTTGCTTTCAGTCCTCATAGGGGACTAGAGGATGCCACAGTCACTTTGTTTAACCTACCTTTTAGACATTTGGGGAAAAAAATGGCACCATGTCAGACTTTTATTGTTTTGATTTTTCTGTTGCTTTTAATGCAATTTAACTCCATATTTTAATTACTAAGCTGCTAGAACAGTTTGACCTGAGTAAGAATCTGGTAAACTGGATTCTTAAAATTTTTAACTAACAGGACACAAACACTGAGGATGAATGGAAGTAATCAGACCAGTTTTGCTCCTCACATAAATTAATGTTTCAGTTATAGTAAAACAGTATTTTCTGTCTGTCTTATTTTATTGTATTTAAACTGCATTTATTGTGTTACATTTTTATAGTTTTTGTCTTAAGTTGCATGTATGGAATGATGAAATGGCTCCTTTGAAAAATAAAGCAGTAAAAACCACCAGACACTCCCCATTGTTTAATGATCACACACGCTCTTGCAAACAGGAGTGCCGCAGAGCACAGGCTTAGAAGTGTTTAAGTTGGCTGGTCTAACAGCGTGCAACAATACAAACTAGCCCTTCATAGGGCACGTTCAACCTACTATTCCAACTTCACTGATTGCAATAAAAATAACCCTCGCTACATTTTTAAAACAATAGCTTATCTAACAGACAAGGCTGAACCTTAACTTCAGTTCAAACAGATTGTGAACACAACCTTAATGATTTTTAATTAATTAATGAACAAGTCCTAAAAACTATTATAATTAAGATTAAAACAACCATGTGTCCACTGGATCCAATCCCCACTAAGCTTCTTAAAGAATCCTTGGGAGTTCTGGCAAGACCTATAACTGCCATACTGAATGTATCTCTGTTATCAGGCGATGTCTCTGACCAACTGAAAGTAGCAGTAATCAGGCCACTACTGAAAAGCCAAGTTTGAATCCATATGAACTCACATGAAGCAGTTACAGACCTATCTTGAACGTACCATTTTTGTCAAAAGGAGAAGATAGTTGCTGCTCAACTTAACTCATACTTGGAGAGACCCAGCATACTGGATTGTTTCCAGTCGGGCTTCTGTCCAGGACGCAGCACAGAAACTGCCTCGACTAAAGTCGTAAACGGCATAACAATGGCAACTGATGCTGACAGCGTGACTGTGCTAATGCTTCTGGACCTTAGTGCTGCTTTTGACACGGTTGATCATTCTGTCTTATTATAAAGACTCAAATTTGAAGTTGGATTGTGTGGATTGGTGTTGAAGTGCTTTAAATCATACTTAACTAATTGTTATCAATATGTTCAAGTGTCAAATACTTGTACTCCATTGTCAATGTCATCGGTCAAATATGGGGTACCACAGGGATCAGTGCTTGGTCCTTTATTGTTTTCCCTCTACATGCTGCCATTAGGAAACATAATGAGAAAACATAATGTTAACTATTACTCCTATGCCGACGACACCCAAATATATATTTCGGTTACGCCTAATGACACCACACCTATTGTCATCTTAGCTAATTAGTTTAACGAGGTTAAAACCAGGATGGCGGAAAACTTCTTATCACTAAATGCTCAGAAACCTGAAGTTCTGTTGTTTGGAGGCAGGTCTGCAGATAGGAATATTATAATCTCTGCACTTCACTCCACAGGGTTGAATTTTTCCCTCAGCAGCTCAGCCCGTAACCTAGCTGTCATCTTAGATACAAGCCTCTCATTTAAATCACATGTAAATGCAGTATCGAAGGCGTGCTTCGTACAGCTACGCCAAATCGCCAATCTACGATGATTTCTTACTATTCAAGACACTGATAAATTGATAGTTGCATTTGTATGCAGTAGGTTAGACTACTGCAAAGCTCTATTATCTGGGAACACACACTGCACAGTAAATACCTTGCAGCGTATTCAAAATGCAGCAGCTCGAATTGTCACCAGGAGCAGGAAGTTTGAACACATAACCCCTGTTCTTAGTTCCCTGCATTGGCTTCCTGTTAGGTTTAGAGATGACTTCAAAGTTCTCCTACTTACGTATAAGGCACTGAAAATGTGGCATTGAGGAATAAAGTGGCTGAACTGGAGTCGAAAGTAAACGAGCAAGAGAGATAGAGCTGAAGATGGTGTCTGTATGGTGTAGCTGAAACCCAAATGAGAATGTTAAAGCCAGAGTGAGTGAAATCTGCAAAGCAGTGATTCCAGAAGATAAATGGATTGAGATGGCATCAGAAATAGATGTTGCGCATCGTATCGGATGACTGAAAGCAGGAGAAGAGAGGAGTGTGAGTTGTGAGGTTTGTGGCAAGATCTGCAAGGGATGTTACACAGAAGCATGCTAAGAAAAATGAATTTCTGAAAGGCAATGGATATTTCTGAAAGGCAATGGATATTTCTTCAAGGACGATCTCATCACCAGTGACAAAGAATCAAGAAGTCGTTTATGGCCAGCGTTGGAGAAGGCAAGGAACAAGGGTAAACCTGCTTACTTCAGTGGAGGCAGAGCGTTCATCGATTGTGAAGAGGTGAAGCTTGGTCAGAAGTAAATATCGTTCAATGATCATAAGTCTTGAATGTGAGGCTCATAAGTTACCTTCATGTGTGTTAGACAATCTAGTTCTTACAGTTTGAGGTGGACTACTCTCAAATGTTTATACCGTTTCAGAACACCTTTGGAAGGCCTATTTCATAGACCTTTGTTATATTAACCATAAAGTCTATTTAGTTAAATATGCATTTCAAAAATGTTATAAACTGTTCTGTCTTCACACTTGCATTACAGCTTACAAGGCTAGACAGACAGCTAAAAGAACAAGAAAAACGAAGGAAGCCATTTCTTCATTTACGGTGGTTTAATTTCACGCTTTGAGACAGCTTGTCTTTGCAAATATGCAGTTGTTTCCTTTGTATTTTGTAAAACTGAGAATAATATAGAGAAATACTCTAAGTACACATTTGGCCAGTTTCCCAGTCAAGGATTAAGCCTAAGCCTAGACTAGCTTTGAGTTTCAATGGTGAATCTCCATTGATACTGCAATTTAGTCCAAGACTAGGCTTAATCCTTGTTTGGGAAACTGGCCCATAATATGCATTCACATTTACATATCTTAGCTGGTAATACACAGAAATGGCTAGCTAACACCAGTTTCAGCTCTAAAAATGAACTAAACAGCAGTTGACACAGAACTTCCTAGTCTCAGAGAACAGAGAAAAACTACATCCTGTCTATAAACACAATGTCCACAAGGTGGCAGTAAGTAACCTTACAACACACTCCCCGCCTGGTATGATAACTGTCATACCACTACAACTAATCTAATTACCCTCTTTTACAAGAATTACAAGGTCAGTTACAGGTCTATGATTTACTTTGGGGCTGCCATCCTTGACAATTCTCACCTCTACTTTCCTAACTTTTCCATTACTGCTGGGAATAGCCTTGATAACAAATTCAGTTGGCCACTCATTGTGCTTCGCTTGATTGTCCTTGAAAAGCACAACGTCTCCTCCTTGGATGTTAGGCATGTCAGAAATCCATTTTCTCCTTCCTTGTAGCGATGACAGGTACTCCTGCCGCCATCTCTTCCAGAACGTTTCAGCTAATGACTGCACATGCCTCCATTGACTCTTGTAAAGGTCTTTGATATCAAAATCTCCAAGAGGTGCCGGTATAGGTGTGGCCTTTTGGGTAAGAAGGATTGCTGGTGTGAGGATTTCGGGTGCCTCCGGATCGGAAGAGACTGGAACCAAAGGCCTGGCATTGATTATAGCCATAACCTCTGCTATGAGGGTAACCAATACCTTGTGCATGATGCGAGTTGGACCAGCTTTTAAGTGCATTGCATTCAAAATGTGCTATGCCACTCCAATTATCCTTTCCTACACTCCTCCCATGTGGGAAGAATGAGGAGGGTTAAAAATCCATGAACACCCTTGGTCGCGCAGGTAAGTCTTGACCTCTGAATCATCATCATCTGAATTAAGTTTCAACTCCTTACAGGCTCCTATGAAATTCATGCCCGTCTGACCTTAGAGATTTCACAGGGCCACGCACAGCCAAAAATCTTCTCAAAGTGTTGATAAAACTAGAAGTTGTCATCAACTTAACTTCCAGATGAACTGCCCTTAAACTTAAACGCATGAACATCACAGCCCACCTTTTGTTATCCACACAGCTAGCTCTGGTACACCTTCAAATAACAATCCATGGGCGAACACATCTAAATCCACATTGGAGAATGGTGGATCTGTTGCTGGTCGATCTGCTGGGTGGTCTTACATAAGTTGCTCCTCCTGCTTTCCTCTAAGTCTCCGACATGTCACACACTGGTGAATGACTCTGGAAACCAGTCTTTTACCTCCTACAATTCAGAGGCCTGCAGACCTTAAGGCTCCTTTCGTAAAGTGGCGACCTTGGTGGGCCACTTCACCATGATAATGTCTGACGAGAAGAGTTGCTGCGTGGTGGTCTGCGGGAATAACAAGAGGATGCTTCTCAGTTGTATGTAGTTGTGATGTTGACAAATGGCCTCCGACTCTCATCAAACCTTCTTCATCCACAAACGAGTGTAGATCTTTAAAGGACACCTCTGGCATTAGAATGTCACTTCTGCGTTTTCCCTGGCTTGTTTCTGGTTGTTCTGGTTGTATAGGAAAAGTGATACGAATGAGACGAACGTGATTTGCAAGGTATGCAAGAGCACTGTTTTAGCAAGTGGTGGAAACACGTCAAACCTTTTCTATCATCTCAAATCCAAGCATCCAAACGAATATGGCCAAAGTCAAAAAATGCTGTACAATACATTGCAGTAAACAGTATGGTTGTTTTTTTACTTAAAGTAATGCTGCAATTCACAGTTTAAATAAAATTACATTATATAAAACAGTTTCTTTGTTTTTGAATTTTTATTTATGCATTTCCAGATACAAATTGCTATATTGTGATATATATCGTTATCGAGGTAGAAAATTGCTTATACCGTGATAGAAGATTTTGGTTATATCGCCCACCCCTAACAACAATTAGAAACAGCAGTAAAACACTGGGAATCCACACAGGGTTAACGAGGGGGCATGGTACACAGGAGGAGCGGACGATCGGGGCGTGACACACGGATGTATGGACGTGCATGCATGCACACGTACACACATGGATGCATGGTCCGACAAATGGGCAGAACTGAACATAAGATAATGACCTTAAATTGAATATGGCATCATAATTATGGGATAATGACATTTTGTGAAAGAGCAGGTATGTAGCTACATTTATCATTAGATTTTAATCAGCGGCAGTACAAATATACTGTAGTGAGACAACTGAAGTGATAATCAATAAAACTCAGAAATAAGTCACATTGCTACTAGGGGTGCATGATTCCGAAAATCTCATGATTCAGTCAGATTTTGAGTCTAGGGCTCATGATTTGGTTCAAAACTGATTCTTGATTCAGAGACT